GTGAATTCTGATTAGATATCGGCTTCTAAGTGTAATATTTATAAATTTACCAAGCATTATTTAAGATTTTAAATAAATTACTCGAAAATATCTTTAAAATTGACTTGGGACCAAAAACCAATTTAGTTTAATTATAAACATAAATTTCCGGTGGGCAAGAACCTAGACCAATTTAACCATTAACCCCTCAAACCCAGAAAATCTCCTTCAAAATGATACATTTCCCATACTGGTAATTTTTATGGGGAAAAACATAAAATGAAAATTATCCAACATGCACACGTCCATAAATCAACTTGCAAAAGGTCCCCAAGAATCCAGATGCGCCCATTTTCCGCACTCTTTTCATGTCCTGACCTGCCCCTCGTCCTGCATATCATTTTCATTTCGTTTTTATCAACTTTTCTTGTGTAATTTTTGAGCGAATTGCGTTAAATTAATTAGGGTAGTGCTGAGCGAGGGGCGCTAACGGGGTGCAGACGAGGGAAAAACTTGCGCGACATTTCCATAAACAACAATAACAGGAGACACTGCTGCATACTTTCGGAACACAAAAAAGAGTGGTTGAGTACACAGAGAAAAATAAGAATAATATACTAAGATAAGAAAAGTTATTTAATTTATCTTAGTTATGCAAAATCATAAATATTTAAATTTATTAAATACTTATAGATTTTTCCCGTGCAGTAGTTTAAGTTAAGAAATTTTCTATTAGGAATTCAAGATAAATATGTATATTAATAGGAAATATTAAATACACTTATAAATCATGGTTAATTTAAATTAAACCACAAAGTAATTTTAGTTTATTAGTCTAGGTTTAGGTTATTAGTCTATCTGCAATGCGATTTGAAATTAAAAAAAAAGAATACTCCCTATTTTCAGTAAAGTTTTTTGTTGCTACATAAATTTATTGTGTGCTGCTTCAAATCTCAATTAATAAATATTACCAAAAATTATAAAAATTTCTTTAAAGAAGAATCATTATAATTAGAGCTATTTTACAAACTTCTATTAAATGTACATATTTTATAAGAGAAAGGAATTGAAATCAAGTTTACATAAAGCTCAACTTCTGACTCCTGCTACACAATTCTCTTAATTTAATCAATTTATATAAATTAAATAATCATTCAATTTATTACAATTTTATTTCAGTGCCCTTTAGAGGGGGTCAGGGTTCAGGTCGGGGTGCAAACGTGATTCGCAGACAAATAGAAGACGTCATAAAAATGCCATTGTAAGTAGTTGAGTTTTCTGTTTTTTTTCTTTTGGCTTTTGCCTGGCAGTTGTGACAGGCGGCTTCTGCTTTTGTAGGTATTTGTTGCTGTTATCCTTGTTGCTATCCTTAATGCTGTTGTTGTTGTTGTTGTTGCTGATATTATTGTTGTTGCTGGCAAATCGACAAAAGGCACGCAAAGGCTGGCAGAAACTCATTTCACTTGTGTCGAAAAGATAAATGCGAAGCGCTTAAAAAAGCAATTACCGCATAAATTGCGCTACAACGCGGTATGCCCCCATTTCCCACTCCCTTTCATTATTTCCCCTCCTTGTCCCCCCTCTTAAAACTACGCCCCTGGCCCTTATGCCTTGATGTGCACAGGATGCGGCGCATAAAACTTGCTACAAAAGACAAGTCCTTCCTCCTTTTGGCGCGGCTCAACAAACCGAACAAACAAATGTTGGCAACACGCGAAAAACATGCAAAATGCATTGAGATGACAGGGGGGATTGGTGGGGGGGTGGAGTCCGGCTTAATTGAAAAATCAATAGTGGGCTTACTTTCCATGCCACTCCATTCCATTCAGTCAGTCAGCCGCCCACTAAACTCGCGTAAATCAAGTTAAAAATCGCAGCAATCAAAGCACCTGAAGCGCAATAAAAACTCATTAAAATGGGCCCTCACAAATAGGGGACAGCATCGGGGAATTGCACTGGGGGAAATTTTGTACTAAAATTCATTTAATTTAAATTTTTAAACAAATATTAGTTAGTAAATATTTTCCATTATTTTTAAACCCTTGCAAGAGAGCTATAATTTTAGTCAGAAGCTTATAAAATGTGAAGGAGGCATTTCCGATCCTATAAATCATATATATATTCTTAATCAGCATCAATAGCAGCTATGTCTATGATCTAGCTATGTCTGAAAGAAAATAAAATGTTTCAAATTTTTATATATACTTTGTTAAAACTGTCAAAAATTGATAAAAAATTTCAATTTATTTATACTTTTAATTGAGTATGTAGATGCAATAACAAATTGAAAACTAGCACAGCACTGCTTTCCGAATTAAAATTAATGCCTTTTTGGCTGAGTTATGAGTTTTTTAAATATTGATTTATTGAAATAAATTGTCATATAAAAATATTAATAAATATTGATTAAAAAACTGCGAAAATTTTAATCTTAGTTATGATAGATTTCCAATACGATTCAATAATTTATTTGCAAGCTGCAAGAATATATAAAGTTCTATTATCGAAGTTAGTTTCCTTTCTAGTCATGGGTTATTTAAAGATCACAACATTACTGATTTATTAAAAGACTTAGTTAGAAAGGAGCCACCATAATATATAATAATTTTCTATAGAAACAAATAGGAAAGGCATCAATGATATCACTTATTTATTTTCCGATTTATTGATGAGCTTATCTTATTCTCTGTGTATCAAAACAGGATCCCGTGACGATTGGGGAGCCAGGTGTGGTGTCCGGACTCCGGACTCCTCGGTTAGAGACACGACGTCCCCTGTACCGAAATTGGATTTGAACAAATTACAACACATCGATTTCTCATTAGGAGCCGAAGACGAAGCCTTCGAAGGGGCAAAGGAAATCGGGCGGCAAATAAAAGGAATGGAAAGGAAAGCACCAAGAAAAAGGGGGATTCCCTGGCTGCGACAATTTGATGGCGACAGAAATCACTTAAAGGGAAAATTTAATTGACTCTACGGCGGAAGTCAGCTGCCAATTTGTTGGCCATGCCAACACACTGCCACCGGAAATTTCGTCGACTTCCTGATTTAAATAATAACAAACTGTGCCGATGTCTGCTCAGCCTGCTTGGCCTGCGTTTTCCAGCTCCTTAAATCTCCTGCTCCTTGAGTTTTCCGCCCTTGGCTTCCTGTAAGTTGAAAGTCTTGCTTGTCACGCCAACTGACGGTTTGCCTCCCTTTGCTCCTTGCTCCTGCTTCCTGGTCCTGCTGCTTGCTCCTGTTCCCTGTTCCCTACTCCTTGCTGTATCTTTTTTTGATGGCGTGGGCCAAGAACATGATTGGCGTCATCAGCGATGGATCTGCCAAATGGAGGGGGCAGTGGGAAAATCGGGGTGTCAACGTTGATTTTGGTCAGCGTTTGCCTGCCGGCTTAGTTGAGTGTCAATATTTGGGCGGCTCTCTACCGAGCCTTGGGGGGTGGGGCGGTGCTATATATCCTGTTAAGAGGGCGTGGCAATGGCAAATTAAAATGTTTGCCTTATGATGCGGCTGGAAATATAAACATGACAGGGCGGAGGCTGGAGGAAGGAGGCGTAAACAAGAAAAATTGCGAATATGTGTACTTTTGGGAGGGTGGTGAATAAACACACACACACACGCACAACCTGCCAGATCGATTGGGGAAAATTCCTGTAAAGGATTAGATGGGAAAATCCCTCTGGGCGGTTTTGCTGGCTTACGGCAAGGGGATTATCGAGAGTTATCAAAAATAATGGATGTTTCAGTCAAGTAGGTAATTAACTTATAAGCTGGGAATTACATTTTTGCGTTGGTTTCATAATTATTTATGGGATCATATTGTTAATTACGAACTATAAAGTTAATTTAAGTAAATTAATGAAAGATTGTACTAGGTTTGTTGGGAAATAACCTCAAAATGGTATAGAAAAAGTTAAAGACATGCAAAACTTTTAAAATTGGTATTGGAATAAATATAAAGAAGTCTTTATAAAATATTTAAGAAGAAGAAAGTGATTAGTCTGAAATAATTATTATTATATATTATATTTTCATGAGAAATATTCAGCAAAATTAAAAAAAGGTAAACTCGACATATTAAGCAAATTACTAATATAAAATAAGAAATTATTGGAACGAATTTGCGGTCTTTGACAAATCAAAGTTTTAAAAACTCATAACTCGTCCAAAAAGGCATTAATTTTAATTCGGAAAGCTTTTCTATGTTAGTTTTTATTAGGTTAATAAATCTGCTACCCAATTTAAAATTTAATAAAATTCAAAATGTTGACAATTTTTGATAATTTTAACGATGTAACCCCTTATAAAATTTTGAAAATTTTTAAACAATTTTTTTTCAACCGAACAAAGCTAGATCGATTTGGATGATGATGCTGATCAAGAATATATATGATTTATAGGGTCAATAATGACTCCTTCTTAGCCTTACAAGCTTCTGACTAAAATCGGAATACCCTTCAGCAAGGATAAAAAAGAGTACACATTGCCTCTATAATTTTCTGTGAATTTTCTTTATTATAAGCCATGAAAATCATCCACGTGAAACCAGTAATTTCAAACTGCAATCCCGATAAGAGATCACCCTGCTGCGAGAAAACTGCGATGCTTTCCCCCCCGCTTGCCACCTCAACAGGACATGCAGTCCCCTGTGCTTGCTCCTTATTCCTGCCTGTTGACTGAGAAACTCTTTGCATTTGTTGAACAACAATTTCCGGCACGAACACCAAAAGCCGAAAGCCGAAAGAATCGTGTTAACGAAGCCGAAGCGAAGGCTCAACTGGTGAGATTCGAATCCGAATCGAATCAGGACGAAGGACGAGGCACGAATGGCAGCAGTAGCGGCTCCTATAAGAAGCGGCTTCCCATCAAACACAACCAGAGTCGCGTCAGCAACGTCGAATGGAAAACAACGCGACTTTCGCCAAAGAACCATCAAACAGAAACCAAAAATTCAAACGACGAAATATCACGCATACGCCACGTTGAACCAAAAGAAAATATACAAAAGTGAAGTGAAGTTACCACAAAAAAAAAGAAAATAAAAGTGAAACAAAAGCCGGAAAAAAAGAGTTTACCGCCTGGACTCGTTAGTGGAATTTTTTGTAGCCTTTTGGCCAGTTTACGAGCGGCTCAGCATAAATTGGTAACGTGTATATCCTTTCTTATATATATATATTATTTTTTTGTGGGGGAAGTCGGGTTGAAATGGCTCATAAAAGTGCGTGAGAGCCGAGTATTTTGGCCATGAATGGGGAATCCCAGCGAAAGAAACCCATGAATGAAGCTGACAAAGTGATGGGGAAAATGCGTGTGGAAAGGGAAAGCTCCTAGTGATTTATGCCGCGAGTTTGTCTGGCATTGTTGCTTTAATTATATGACTTCTTGGAAGACAAAACGCAGGCTGAGGGGTTGAGTGCTGAGAGTTGAGAAAAGGATGCGAAACTTGCCGCTTTTGATGTTGTTAGCGGGGCATTATGAAAGCCAAGCACGCAGAAATGCAAATGGAAAGCCGCAGAAAATTGTTTGGACATGTGCGTGTGCGTGTGTGTGTGTTAAGGCTAACACAGCACCTTTTTTGGAAGGAAAGGCTAAAACACAGGACAACCGAAAACACCGCAGGACATTTAACACTTCATTGACTTTTGTGGCCCCTTTGACTCGCTGACTGACTGACTGTCAACATTCCGGCAAAAGTTTCATTTGCATTTCGTGTGCTCCGCCACTGAAAATTAATGGCAAGTTTTTCCCACCCCCTTTCCTCTGCCATTTCCCCGCTCCCCCCATAATTTTCCACCCCTGCCTGCCTGCGTGCCTGCCTGCCAATTTGTTTGGCTTCGAACTCTTTAATAAGTTTTCCAGGCGCCGCAAACTTTTGCCAGCAGCAGCGAATTCTTGGCCCAACTCCTTTGACGGCCTTTGACCCTTTTTGCACACGCACACTTATACACTACACACACTCACACACATAGAGTGTGGCAGCACGTGTGTGGCTGCGTGTGTGTGTTGCCATGGCCGTCTGATCCTGGGCTTTGACATCTAATTTATGAAGCCCTCTTAAATCCAAACGCACCAAGTTTTCGTTTCCGCTTCAACAGCAACAGGCTGCCAAAGTCTCTTCCCTGGTGACCCATTTATTTAAAGGGTATCACGTAGTCGTTTATTTTTATTTACAACCTCTTTGTACAGCTGGGGTCAGGATAATAGAAGTCACTTAGAGGAAGTTTCACAAGAGGTACGCCAACCAATAAAAAAGTTTACTTGACAATGTGCAAGTGAGTTTTTGTAGTAAAAATAACAGAGTTCAAAGTTGTCAAGTGAATAAAGAATTTTTTTTAAATAAGTGTTGAAGAATCTTCATTGTTGTGTGTACTTTTGAATTTAATGTAGAAAGAAAGATGAAGAGTATTGTAAGTCAAATACTTTAAGAAAAAGTAATAACAAGTAAAATACAAAAGACTGTAAAGAAATGTTTTGCTTAAAAATTTTAGAATATAGATTTATAATTTAATATGAAAAGGTTTCCAATAGCTTAAAATTTATTCAGTACAAAGTTCAAAAATATTTCTAAATATATTTCCTAACAGATTTTCGTTTTAAATAACGATAAACCCTAATCGTTTGTTATTTCTACAATAACCTTTTATAGATGTATGCAATATTTTTAAGTTATAAAAAACATCAAACTGGCTTACAAAAAAAAGGTATAAATTACAATTCAATTACCTAAAAAAATAATTGTTTGCTTCTATATTTACTATTTGTTTAATTAAAAACCCATCACCTGCAGACTTTATTACATTCTGTCAATGTCAATTTCCCTTTTTAGAACTTTTTGCTGTTTAAAAAAAACGAGATAGTTTTTCATATTGACTCTAATTTTTTGCCTCTAACTATGTGTAAGCTCTTTATTTTATTACTATTTCCTCTCTATATTTTTTTTTGCACACTGAGAGCTAAAAATAAACAGCTTAAGTGAAGGGAAAACCAAATCCCAGTTGGGGGCTTTTCCTAGCAACTCGCCTACTTACATTCAGACCAACCCCCTCTTTTATTAGGCTTCTTTTCTATTTTATTTCTGAATGTTGTTGTTGCTGTATTGACCTTAAGTTATGTTGAAAAAGAGGCTGTGGCACGGGGGGCGTGGCAGCTGCCTCAAATTCCTCAACTTGTTAGATTTGTTGCCACGCCAAAAAAGAAAACTTTTTTAATGAGTTTCATAATCTTTGATGCGCTTCGCTTTGTTTCTAGTCCAGCTTCATCTCACACCAGTTTTCCTACAATTTTCTCCCCCTGACTTTTCCTAAAAAAAACTCGGCCTAATGATGTGCGAGCCGTGGAATGTGGCCTTTGAAAATTGTTTTTCTTCTAATGGGGAAGGAATATAGGAGGGCCGAAAAACTTATTCAGCGAGTGCGAGGGCCGCGATAAGCGTTTAATTGAATGCGAGGGGCGACCCCTGTGCTTCTCTTTTTTACTGTCAAGAGTTCAGGGTTCAGGAGGGCGTGAATATAATTCAAATCCAAATAGGTTTCCCTTTGCCTGATGTCCGTTTCAGGTTGCCCGATTCCGGATGCCAGCTGAATGCAGTTGGCAGTTCGCTTTTTAATCCGTTGCAGCTAGCTGACCCCATCAGAGTCCTTTTTTTTGTTAGTTGGAAACGCTTAACGGGGGCTTACACTGGGAGAATAATATAGGTATATTCCATACTAATAATATTACAAAGTAATAACAAATTCCAATACAAATTTAGAGACTTTTTCAATCAAAGCTCAAATGTGAAACCATTTTAGTTTTGGTTTTAATAAAGTGTCATCTCAACTTAATCTGCATTTAATAGATTTATTTTTAACTTTTTCCCCCAACTGGGAATTCGTTTAAATTATTTACCCACTAATTGAGAGCCTTTGGAGTGGATTCAGTTGGAAGTCAGGAGGGCCTTCGCGTGGAAATGTGGAAATTCGAGGGGGCCTCAGGTCGAGTGGCATGCATTTCGTGTGTGTGGCACGCCTCCAGCGTCGTTAAATCCAGGAATTTAGTTCCCTTTGTGATTGTGCTCAGTCTTCATTTGGCTTAAATTTCATTTGTTTAATTTTCATTTTGCCCCAAAACCTGAGTACTGCTTAATTGCATTCTTCTCGGCCAACAAATAAAGCATATTGGGCAACATGCAAGGCAAATGTGCAACAAGGCACAAAAAAAGGGGGAAAGAAGGGAAAGGGGAAGGGATAAAAGAACATCTGCAGCATCTGGCAACATGGAATGTGCAATTGTGCAACATATCCGTGCCACTGTATGGCGTGCTCTGAATGGGCCTTGGAAACCCTGCCATCTTGGGCTGACGCGGCGTATGCGTAATTTGTGTTCTGTGTCGCGAGATTTTCCCCCTTTTCTCATTTTTTTTGTGCTGGTGATAAAAAATTCGAGACGAAAACTTTTCATGTGGCCAGGAGGGTTTTCTATGGGAGATTCAGATCCTTCTACAAGCTTGGGAGAGGAGGACACACGAGACAGAAACCAGGCAACAGGGATTCCTTGCCGGCCAGAGATAATCCTTTGTCCAGGATTCTCTCTTTATCTCCTTCTCGGTCTGCTTGTGCTTCTCTGGGTTTTCCCTTTTTTCTCTCTTTTTATTTATTTATTCTTGTTTTGTAACCTTGTTGGCATAATTTTGATAAATCACTGCAGTAAATACGCCACATAAAATACATATTTCTTATATTTATTCCATGAGTCTTTTATGATTGTATGTTGCCAGGGAAACTAGCTATTCACTGGTGAAAATAGCACTGATGATTATAATTCACATTATCTTTGGTATATATCTACTCTAGAGGCCGGGAAATTTAAGCAATAACTTTTTTACTATAGGAAATTGTTCAATTATACAAAGTCTTTAATTTTAGAAGATTTAAAAGAATATAGAATACCTTTTTTGTTTGGGAAATCTCTTCAGAGCTGTCTTTCAACTTATTCAATTTATGCAAAGACAAGAAAACATTTATAAAATATCTATAAAATATTTTAAATCGAATATGATCTTTTCTATTCTAATCTCTATCTATGTTTCAAATGCAAATAAATATAATGAAAAATCAGCAGAGCTAAATAATTAATTTTAAGGGTATCATCTTATTAAGCATCTTTTTTGCAATGTGTTTTCCTCTCGTTTGGGATTTTCTTTTTGCTGTTCGCTTTTTTTTTTGCCCTCGTGTGCGTGTTGTTGGGATATGAATAATCTGCACGTTATTTCCATCTGCTTTTAACTCACGCTCTATGCTTTTCCGCCTTTCATTGCAGCTGGTCTCCCCCAACTCCAATTTCCCCCATTTTCCCCCATTTGCACGGCCGTAATGAGGCAATGAGACGGGCAGCCGGAAAAGCCACGTCGGGAGTAGCGGCAACAGGAACAGCAACAGCAACGGCGGAGCCATGACATCTGGATCTAAAACGGGATCTGGAGTTTTCCGGAGTTTGGAGCTTTGGCCCCTGAGCGTGTAAAGGAGACAGAACGACTGACAAAGAAAGAGAGCGAGAGGGAGAGCAATGCTGCGCGATATCTTTCTGTATTTAGTTCTAATCGTTTTATTTTGCTTCATTTTCATGGCGCAGTTAATCGTCAACGTTTACGCCTTCCAGCGCCAGCCGTCGCCCCAAAAAGCTGAGCGCAATGAAATTATATTTGTATAGAAAGGAGATAGCAGCCCATATATATTTACACTGAAAGAAATGCACACTAGCAACAACAATAAACAAATATTCAAGAGGAAAAGTTTCCAAAGAATTGGTAAATAATTAGAAAAATAATCAGACATAAATGCCAAGGCATTTAACAAACAAAATATGCTCCTAATTTTAATTTAAAAACAGACATGTAATATTCAAAATATTCACCAGATATTCATTATTAAATTACACAAATCAAAAATAGTATACAAATGCTACAGCTTGAAGAACTTGTACTTAAATATCAATTTTTTGTTCTCATCCAAAAAACGTTTACACACATCAAAATATCACAAGCAGCATTAACAAGCTAAGCTATTAAATAATAGCCCTATTATATGAGGCATAAAGTCAGACAATTTTGTTCAGTGTAACCTACCTTAAGGACAGAGAAAAGAAGATATGAATTGGTGGCCCAAATGAAGATGCTACCAAAGCAAAGGCGGCTAGAAGTCAAGCCGCGGCGGTTTCTATTTAATAAGAAAAGGAACTCAACTGGGTTCAACTTTCAGTTGAGCGGGAAAAGTGGGAAAAGGCGAGGAAAATGACGGCACAGAAAATGGGGATGGGACAGAAGCGGAGATCCATATGGGGCGGGGGAGGGAAGATCAACGTTGGAGGAAGATAAACCCTCGAAGAACTGTTAAACTAGGTTGCGCGCTAATTAGTAACGGTAGTCTTGGGAGCGAACAACACTCACACCACACCACACACACGCCACACCACACACACAGCACACCTCACTACACACCAAATACCCTGGAACAGCCACAAATCACTGAGAGAAATTATCAAGAAGGAAAGTAATTAACTTCATATCAAAGTGGCTTCCTTGCTTATTAAGTTTAGAAATTAAATAAATGAAGTTCTTTAACTTTTAGAAATTCAATGATTTTATATTATAATCAATTCTTAGTTTTCTTTAAATTAAAGTTTACTAAATTCCCTATGAATCTTCCAAAGAAAATATATCACAACACCCTTAGTTATGCATTAGCCACAATTTAATGTGATAAACTTTTTAAACATTTATCAAGGATAATTATCCTATTAATTAATTAATTTCCTTTAAGCCTATTTTTACCATGAACTTATTTAAACATTTTATATATACTTTTAATATATTTTTCTTTCTCTGCACATACACTTTCGCTGAGACATCCGCAAAGAAAGTTTCTCGAGCAACAATAAAACCACCGGGCGACACGTTGCCAAGGGAAAAGCAAAGAGGAAAAACCACTGAAAAATCCCCTGAAACAGCAGGAGAGCTAAGGAATTCAACGCGAAGTTTCCACTGCCAAAAGGATGCCCCGGAAAATGAGCGAATTAATTTCATAATTTTTCGCATCGTCCGTTGCCGTTTGTCACTCTTTTGTTTGCTTTTCATTAATTTTTTGCCTGCATTCTTTCTACTGGATTTTTAAAGTCTTTGTTTTGTTGTTATTTTTTCTTGCAATATTTTTTAAAATTAAATCTCTTACTTGATTGAGAGAATATTGGTGACACATTGTTACAATAATTGATTGAATGTGACACCGAGCAATTTTCATTAAGCTTCTAGCAAAATTTCCATTGCCTACTTTATGGAGCTGCCGGCAATCGAGGCTTTAAGCCAGGAAAATTTGCTAACAGTATTGAAGAGGGCGTGGCAACTTGTGTTTTTCTTTTTATATTTCATTTGTGTTTGTATTTTTTATTCTTGTATTTTTTTATATTGATTTCTAGCCGCACTCGAGGCCTTTTTGGGTTGCGTTTTGTTCATGGGTGTTTTTCTTTCTACTTGTACTTTGTTTTTTGGTTTTTTTTTTGTGTGTGGCTTTCATATTTTTCGGTTGTTTTTCATTTTGGCACGCCGCCGCAGCGTTTTATTGTTTTCTTTTGAGCTGTTACTGCCGCTGTTGCAGGACTTCAGGACTCGAGGCCTCGAGTGGCAAACACACTTGAACACTTGACCCCGTTCGACGGGCGAGCATTGAAACTTTACAATGGGCCGGGAAAATGCGAAAATGTCCGAGGGCGAGGGAATATGGGTTAGGGGTAAAGCTGGAAAAGCGGACGGAAAAACCCCGGCGTATTTAACTCTTGCCGGGGCGGTTTAACTTGATTGCTGTCAGTGTGTCCAAATGGAAATTAAAGTTTCATCAAAACGCTCAAAGCTCTAAGCGGATGTGGGCCAAGTTTGCCAAGAGTTTTCAAGAGGGTTTCGCTTAAATTTAAATTGAAGTTTAAACTAAAAGCTACATTACACCAACACGAACACAAAAATACTCACACACTGAAGAAGAATCAAAATGTATTAATCGAAAATTATAATGTTTTACATATAAAGAATCTACAATAGAGGAACATTTTACGAGTACGGTTATATACTCTACTATACATACTTAGATATATGATATATACATTCGAACAATAATAGAGTTAGTTAACGATTGATAAGTGCTAAGCAGCCCCAAAAATTGTATCGAACTTGTAGCTAGATCTGAACAATGAAATCGAAGGAAAAAACGAACCGAAAAATCGAAAGAAAATTAAATAAACTAAATAAATGTTCTTTGGAAAAAGAAAGAGACTTTGGAGAGTGTTTTATTTGGGAAGGGAGGATATTGAGTTATATAATCGTATCGGAAATTGATCATAGTTTTACCTAAAATATTTGAATTTTTTGAATCAATATTTCTTGATTTTTAAATATACAAATTTTTGGCCAATTTTTGAAAATTTTAACAATGTAACCCCTTAGAAAATTTTTAAAACTTTGAAAAAAAAAAATTTTGTCGGAGAAAGCTAGAAAGTTTTGCCTGTTAATGCTGATCAAGAATATATGTATACAATATATATATGTTACAAGCTTCTGACTAAATCAATAATACCATGGAAAGGTATAGTAAATGAAATAATTTATATAATATATATTATTTTTCCAAGTGTTCTTGTCAGAAATCTTGTTCGAATTAAAAATATTTTTATTTGATTTTGAGGTTTTTATAAGTTATCAAGTTCATTAAGAGAATTTTCAACGGAATCCGCTTGAAGAATTAACAATTGCACAGCTTATAGATCTATTTCTTTAAGTTTGCAAGTATTCCAATTGTTTTAAAGAGCTTAACGCACTTTGAAATGCCTCAAAATACTATTAAACAATTCAGAGAAACAAGAACAAATCTTGTTCTCATAAACAAGTCAATTAAAATAACAAAAGCTTCATTTAATATTTAACAAATTAAACCAATTTAAAAGTGACATAAAACAAGAGGAATAACTGAATTGCATTCTGAATAATTAACAAGACCAAGATTTTCGAGGAATGCTGCAATTCATTTAAAATGCAACCGAACCGCAGGATCATCTCGGATTCCCTCTCAGAATTTTCCCTGCATTCACTTTCTGGCATCCATAATTGGGGTAACTTGTCTCACCCTCTGGCATCTTTTGGTATCTTAACCCCTTGGGGCTTTGCCATTTTGGACGCATTGAGTGACCAGTCCATTAACGTTCCCATTTCGTATTTTTGCTGTCCCCCTCGAGGAAGTGTTAAATGGCATTTTGGGCAATTGGCATGAGAAGAAATGAATACATTATTTCAGCCATTTAGCTGAAAGGAGGATGGGGTTGCAAAAAAGAAAAAGAAAAATGAAAAGGGTGGAAATCGCTTGTCATGTCACAGGGTCCTCGGACAAAAGTTTTGGCTTTCGGCCAGAAAAAAGCTGCCTTTCTCCCTCATTTTCTTCAGCATGCAACAAGCTTGAAAATTCTCCATCCCCCTCACATTTTCTTTTGGGACTGCTGCATTTTCTCAGTGCCACTGGGGGCTTGTTTTTATTGCATGCCAAGATGTCTGAGCTTTCACAAGAACAGAACGTCCATGATGAGCTACAAAAACAGAAGCTGCTGGGAAAAACGAGGAAAATGCCTCTGAAATGGATTTTTTTGTTATTGTTTCTCGTTTTGCTGCATTTTTATTGCATTACAATGAACAGCGCCTTGACCAAATTTGGTCAACAAATGAAACGAAATAAAGGCGAAATTGAACAGAGAAAATGTACAGCAAGGAAAAGCACATTAGTTTTCTATTTACCATAAGAAATTGCTAAATTTTAAATTAAAAGAAAATACTTTCTATCGATTTAAAGATGATTTTAGGTTAAATAAAGAAGTAATCCTATGATATTTAAGGAATATACTTAAGATAAACACGTCCTGCTCTTATTTATTCTCTGTGCACACAAATAGGGAATATATTTTGAGGCCTTAAATCAGAAATCAAAATGAATTGAAAGTATCTAGAGCTATCTTGGCATCGAAAATCGCTTAAAGCAGCCCCTCGACATTCAATTTTTCACTTGACAGCTGTCGAAGGTTCTGTGTGGAACCATTCACAAATGACGTTATGGGTGCAAAAAATAAATAAAGTGGACAACAACTTTTGGTATTTATTTAATATTTATTTAATATTTATTTTGTGTCTTTTTCTTTGCTTTGAGCACTTTGATCTGTTGCTGTTGCGACAAGTTCTTGGCCAAAGTCAAGTCAGCTGAGGAAACTGGGAAAAGTTTTGCTGAAAGAAAGCCGAAGGGGGTGGAAGGGGAAAAGCAAGTCCTTGTTCCAACCAATTGACAAACGAAAATCAAAACTAATTAGACGCAAATTAATGAGCCATGCCACAACACAGCATCAGTGAGAAAATCAACAGCCGCTGCCGGGCGAGGAAAACAGGCAAAAAAATAAAACAAATGTGATGAAAATGCGATGTGAAAATGTGAGAAGCTGACAAACAATTTGGCAGTGGGGACAGCCCTCCCTCCTTCCTTTCCACCTGACCTTTGGATATATATTTTTCTTGAGGAAAAAAACTGGTTGCCTATCAAAATAAAGCAGCAAACAAAAGAGATCATTTTGTGAAAATTCCCTTAAATTCGCCATGAAAGAGACTTTTCTCCAGAGCATAATTCACAGAGAGAGCAAGAGAGTGAATAATAATACAAAGACAAATTTAA